GCAGGGACATCTATGGGTCATCCACTAAACTTGCTCCTCCCCGCCCTTCCCAGGCTCTCCCTTTGTTCTCCCTGGCTGGGCTCAGCCTCCAGAGCTGCTGGACAAACTGGTAAAGACAGTGGGGAAGAGATGAGGAGAGGAGGGGCCCAGGTTTGAGAGAACGGACGGGTAAGTCCCAGCCTTGACTTGCACATTAAAATCCACTGAGGGTTAGCAGGTGCAGAGAGGGCCTTTATAGGGCCTTAATACAAGTGAGGACTATCATCCCATGTTCTGCGGGCCCAAGACACTGCCCACCAGCACTGCTTGGCATACCCCAGAATTCTGTAGAAGGTGGGTAAGCCTGCTTTCAACCCCGTCCTGCAGGACTTCTCTCTGAAAATACCCAAGACCCCTGTGTTAGACTAAGAAAGGGACAAGGAGCTAGGTCCATGGTTTCTAGGGTCTTAAGCCCCAAATCTGGAACTCTTAAATCAGAAAAGAAAAAACTCAGAGCAGAATGATGCTGTCGCCGCATTGTATTAGCCATGAATGGATTGCATTTGACATTCAAGTCAGAAAGTAGCCCATCCACTCAGAGGTGTGAGCCAGCTTCACTCCAGGAAACGTACAGATTGCAAAATCCTTTTCTAGTTTCCATGATGTCACCTGACAGTTCCCACCTCTCTCAAATGTTTATGACCAAACAAGTTACTTGGGAGTTTTGCTCCCCACCTGAAGGCTGAGAGGAAGGTGCAGCTCATTTCTCAGCCCTTTGACCTGACTGTCTCCATTCCAACTTGAAAGAAAAAGAAACTTTTAAGAGAGATTTGACCATCCAGTCAGTAAGCCGGCAGTTATAGGCATAGCAAATAATTCAGTTGAGGGTTTTATTTTACAACCTCCTGGGACATGAAGGGGAAAGAATGACCCTACTACTACATGCTAGCCGTTTTGTTTACATGCAGCACATGAGAATAAATGCCTGTGGATAGGTGTATAGCAAGTGTGAGCTCCTCCTTGCCCCTCTCCTTCTTTACAGTTATCTAATCATTTAATCTTTGCAACTTATGAAATTGATATTACCCTTAATTTACAGATGAAAAATTGAGGCTTAGAAAAATTATATGAACCAAAGTTATCCAACTAGTAAGTGGTGACACAGGCGTATAAACTGGGTCTGTTTCCAAAAGCCCACATGCTTTTTCTGTGACACATGGGAGCCTACAACAGTAAATGTATTTACTAAAGCTCTAAAGCTTATTTAGCAATGCCAGCAACTTTGGAAGACTGTCAGAGGGATTACAGAGTTTCCCCCCACCCCGCCTGGATCCAGTCAAGGGAGAACAGAGTACGCCTTCCCCCTGAAGGCAGCCCTACAGGAGGAAGCAGAGAGCCGCACACTGTATTCAAGTCCCCATGGATGGCAAGTCCTTGGGGAGCACCAGAGAGGTACCACGGCCCCTCTGCCCATAGCCAGCTCCCTGCCAGGCTTCACTTGGGGAAGAGGTTTCCTCCCGCACCCCACAGAAAAACATGAATCCATACGCCTTCCCCCTGAAGGCAGCCCTACAGGAGGAAGCAGAGAGCCGCACACTGTATTCAAGTCCCCATGGATGGCAAGTCCTTGGGGAGCACCAGAGAGGTACCACGGCCCCTCTGCCCATAGCCAGCTCCCTGCCAGGCTTCACTTGGGGAAGAGGTTTCCTCCCGCACCCCACAGAAAAACATGAATCCATAATAGCCAAACGCAGGAGCAGTTTGTCATCCTTGTAGAAACAAAAAAGAGGAGTAGGAGGCATTGTCCTCTTGTAATTTTCTCCCCCTGTGCCAATCAAACAACAATAAGATACATTTTGCATTTGAGGTCCATTTGGGTCTGACTTGCAAAGATAAATTTCTAATCATTTGTCTGTTTTTGAATAAAGGAAAGTCAGGCTCACAGTTTCTGATAGCATATAAATTAAAGATATGGTGGTATCTCATTAAAATTCTACAGATGTGTGGATCCTACCCTAGGATTTCTCTCATCAAAAGAATTCTCTTGTAGTGCTGGTGCTGACTTATTAATAAAGATCATGCTCTTATTTGATTATTTATCTAATCAGGATTCACCTTCAACTTAAGCTTATTAAGTCTGTGGTTAATAGAGGGATGCCGCACACGTGCTTGATTGTGGAATTACATCCAAGGGGGACACAGAATTACATCCAGTGAGACATGCGTTCCGGCATTAATGGTCAGAAGCAAAGGCAGAGCACCTGTAAGCCGGTGGGCCCTTCCAGCGGAGCGTGTGAACCGTCAGCCAACCAAATAGAAAGGACACGAGTTTAAAAGGTTCCTTTTGTAAAATGAGGGCCGAGTATTATGACTGTATACACTTAGTAACAGAGAATCGAAATGACAAGCACTCTATTTCAAAAGCCGAAAAACTAAATACCCCTTCTTTATATGCATTATGTTGGGGAAGCTTTTCTAATGGGCTTTTACGTGAAACTTCTGATATCGGTTGCTCCATGTGCCCCAGCCTGAACCCCCTCTCCCCCGCACCCGGTGTCTTGCATTTAACCTGGTTGCTTCTACTTACTGGTCTAAAATGGTTCTAATATAAAACCAGTCTGTAATCTCTCTCTGGGATCTTGCGGAACAGGTAACTAAATCGCCTCGTTCGTACCTGATGGGTGGTTGCCAGGGTTAACTGCTACAGAGCAATCCTCTTCTTCAAGGCCGTCTTCTTGCCCCACAAGTAGGAAATTCTGCTGTTTCTTGGACTAAGAAGCCTCCAGCTACCACAGCGCCGCACTGAAAGAGCGCACAGCGCCGTGCTGCTGACCGAGGCCAGTGTGTCCCCTCCTTGGACACGCTGCAGCTCAGACTTGGCACTGTAACGGACTAAATTATTTATACTGTCGGATAACAGAAAAAGCAGCTAAGAGCTTCCTGAGTTCACAGTCTCAGTCCCTGGATTCATACTGCGACGGGAAACAGGCCAGGCTCCATAAGCAGAGAAAAAAAAGACTTCTTCCAAAGCCCTCTTCATCACCTCCTATACCTGGCCTAAGTCCCAACCACGGTGAAAGTAAGTTGTTCGCATCCATCTTGGATTCATTCAGTACTGTGTGCGAGGCACTGTGAAATATAAGATGTGTTAAAAGTGCCTTTGTCCTCAATAACCTTACAATAATACATCCACTTGGACAGAAAGCATAAGAGAAGTTAGATTTCCCATTCATTTATTTCAGATACATTTATTTCAGGCCAGGCACCGTGCTAGGTACTGGGACGCAGTCCTACAGAAAGATGGAAAAACAGATGACAACTAGAACACCATCTGATTAGTGCAGGTGGGTAAAGGTGTTAAACAACAGTGAAAGTAATGCTGTGAAACAGCATGTGATTAATTTCTCAGTAAATGACCCATTCCGGAATGCCATGAGCTCAGCCCAGTTCTTAGCTTTCCTTTTGATATTGCTGTTGTTAACCTGAAAACTAAAACTGTCAGTTATTTTACCAACAAAATGGGCTTATTCTGAATCAGCAGGGAACTGTAACGGAACAAGCAAGCTAGGGCAAAACCACGTGCATGTCGGGAGGACAAAGGAGAGGAGGCTCCTTTAGGGCTGTTCAAAGCAAAAAGCCCATTGGAGGAAACTAGGAGTCCTGTGTCAATGGCTGTTCATTGGCTGGACTATTGCTCAGGGAGGCAGAAACTCTTCCTTCTACTGGGGAGAAAGTAACCACCGTGAAATGACTTGAAAGGTGTAGGGCATGGGAGCGCCCCCCTGCAGGCCTCCCAACACCAAGTCAGTGAGGATGCCCTTAGTTTTCACACTATAAATAACAGAGCCAAGCACCAGTCAACTTAGCACAAATGCAGCGATGCTTGTAAGACCTGCCTTATGGTAAAGAGAGCTGGTTAGCCTGAGACCAGCACTTTCAAGTCTTTCTGACTGCAGCTCAGGGTCATCGAACTGCTTCTGCATGGAATGAGGTCCGTCATGAGGGGAGTGTCTGCACGTGTGGGCACGTGTCCTTCTGGGGAATCCACCACAGACTCAAGATCCATCTTTCAGGTCAGGAAATGGCATGGAAGCCCTTTCATTGTGGGACTTAAAAGAAGAGACCCAAAAAATCGCCGAAGATGAACTTGTGTTTCTTACTGCAGTGGATTGGAAATCGTTATACAATTACTTTTCCTAGGGTGGGTTGAACTTAAAGCCGTAATTACATAAATGGTATTTCTGTTACTTGTTACAGTCTCTGGACTTCTGAGTCTAATTTGTATCCCTTTTTAAAGTACTTGTCATGATGTTCTCTGTTTATTTGCATACACGGCCCTTTCCATCCCATGAATTTCACAAAACATGACATTCATCATTCTAAACCCCTTATCACTTCGCACATTGCCTTGCATATGAGGCAATGAACAAATATCTATTGAATGAACTGTATCATCCAAAAATGGAAGATGCATGAGCATTTGGTTTGGGGCCTCCTTTTGACCCCAAACTTGAAATATACCAAAAAACGATCCCTCCCTAGCTGGGGAGAAATTCGTGCAACACAAGGAGAGAAGAAGATACAGTCTTGTATGATGAGGAATGGGAAGCACATATCCCCAGCCAGTACATCAGTGAAATCATTGCCAACAAGCAGCAAGAAAGCGGAGGTCAGAGGCGAGTTACCCCCACATTCAAACCTCAAGTTCTTATTCTGAAGGGGATGCTTGTTGTGTGAACCACTCTTGGATGTTGTAGAATATAAAGCCTGCAGTGGAATCAGCTTCGTGCATAAGCACAAACAGAGAACACTGTGAATAAAAATATTACATTTCACTATAGAGTGCATAGTAAATATCACTACTGCTTAGAGATTATTTTAGAAGTAGTACCAGGCAAAAAAAAAAAAAAGGAAGAAAGGAAAGTCAAGACTGATAAATCTGTGATACAAACCACAGCAGGGAAGGGGTGCTAGCCACAATAAAGTTCCAGTTCTTGCTCATCTCGTTTCTTTCTCTGTAGGTGGAATTGGCTGCTTAGGTCAAGACAAAGGCCAAGTTCGAAAGTGCCTTGACGTGGTGGAGATCTATAACCCTGATGGGGACTTTTGGAGAGAGGGCCCACCTATGCCAAGTCCCCTGCTCTCACTTCGAACCAATTCTACCAATGCAGGAGCTGTGGATGGGAAGCTGTATGTCTGTGGGGGTTTCCACGGAGCAGGTACTGGTCTAATTTTAAATATTGTGTAACCTTGTTTGGTGTTGATTTCGACCTCCTTTAACTGACCCGGTCACTAAGGAATAATAGTCTTGGGAGCAGTGTGAGCCTTTTAGAGTTCAAGGACCTTGAGCAACTCACCGAACCTCTGAACCTGAGTTTTCCCATCTATGAAATGGAGCTAACTCCACAGGCTATTGTAAGAATTAAATGAGGTCTAGTTTATAATGTGTCTGGCTTATAGCACATACTCAGCAAAGATTATTTATTTATGAGGAGAGAAAAAATGGGAGAGGAAAGGCTAATGCCTAAAGGAGAGATTTAAAAACATGAAAAATAGGTACAAATAGAATAATGACCAGTTTTGGGTTTTATCCCTGTCTTTATTGATCAAGAGACTCTGGTTCCTTCTCCATTACAGCCACTTGCAATAAATTGCTTGAGAGCATTTCTAAAATAATGCCTAATGCATATATTACCAAACTTCACCAAACTTTGTTTCCATTATGTCAAATTATACCATCATCACAATCTACACATGGATTTATAACTTTTATAATGGACCAGGGGGATTTTTAAATGTGTGCAAATCTAATAAGCAGCTCCCTCCAAAGTTTGACGGGTTGCAGCAGCCAATGAGGCAGAATGCAGTTACATTAAAAATGACCAACTGTTTAATTCTAACCCCACCGATAGAAACACTAGGCCAGTATATACCCATGAAAATCATGCCTCAAGAGCACTTACAACTTTGAAGTGTGTCGGGTTAAAATAAAGCTGACGCTGCTGCAAAGCAAGGCCCTTGAGAAGCCTACCTCCATTTTAAAGCATGTAATTCTCTGTAAATTAAAGAGTAAAATTTCATTACAAATTAAAAGAGACTTAGGAGCTATGTGAACCCAGTACAATGACTGGGCCTTATTTGGCTCTCAATTCAAACAAATCAATAAAAAGTATTTCTCAGGTAATCTGGGAAATTTGAATACGGGCTGGATTGTTAGGTGATATTAAGGAATTGTTCATTGATAGGTTATGATAATAATGGCATTGTAGCTTTATATAAAAGGGAAAGAAAAAAGAAGAACATTTTTAACAATTAGAGATTGCTCAGAAGTATTTATAGATGAAAATGATAATCTGTTTGAAATTGCTTTAATCTCCTCCAGCAAATATTGTTTCAAAAGTAAATGGGGTCAGAGAGGCAATAGATTTTAGAACATTGGTAAAATGTTAGTGATTGTTAAAGCTGGATAATGGGCACCTAGGGTTTTATTTTATTACTTTTGTGTGTGCTTGAAAATTCCCATAACAAAAAGCTTTAATTTTTCTTTCTTTATTTGTACTTCAGAGGACTTTCCCAAGAGGTTTTTTAAAAACTGTTTTAATATCTTTTATATTAAACACCACATGCTTGTGTGAAGGGAGTAATCTATCAATAGTAGCAAGAAACCCAGCACAGAAAGGAAATCTCATAAGTACGCCCTTGTTGGAGTTCTGTGTGTGAGGGGGTATGGGGACTCAGGTGAGAGACCCCCTCACCTGCGAGGGCTCTCCTCCAGCTCATCACTTGCTCCAGCTCCACCCTCTGGCTTTTGGCTTCTCTTGACCAGAAAAGAAGGGCAGAGAATATGGTGGGTAGCCTCAGCACCTCCAGAGGGATGGAGTGGTAATTAGTGTCTAAGGATTGAGAAGATACTCTGTTTTGACTTGTTTCTTTTTTTTTCTTTGCATAATATTGAGTTAGAGATTTGATAGCTTCTAGTTTTTAAAATGTCTCTAAACTTATACCATGAGCCAGCCTCTTTTCTTGGTATGATAATGGACTAATAATGTTTCCAGCCGAAGGAAAGGGATTTAGTAAATGAGCTTTCAAATTCCATTTTAATTGTTAGGCTCTAAGATGCTAGATTGTCTGGGATTCACTGACTGGATCATCACTGTAGTTGTATGAAAAAGGGAACAATTGCATAATAGCATGCCTGTTATAAAGTGGAGATCTCAGCATCAGACCCAAAAACAGACACTGCATTTTCTCTCCTTGGGTGACACAAACCTACTCGACTCATTTATTTATTCAGAGAACTGAGTCAAAAAATTAATCTCCCTTAATCTATTTAGTTAATTGAATAAAAATATATTGAAACATACTGTTTGCAGGCATTTGGAATACAGTCTTGAGATGTTCGACATTTGATGGGAATGACAGATACAAAAACATGTAATAAATATAGTAATTTGGTTTTGGTTAAAATAATAGTTTGAACACCTCAATTTCCTCCTCAAACCTCACTAAAATGGCAGTAAATGGAATAAACACAGTCAGACAAACAGAAGAAGAGGGAGGACAACAGCAACAAGATTTTGGAAGTTAGAAAGCAGATGAATGAATACTAATCAACCAGACCTGAGAAAGTTCAATGCTGAACTTTCTGGCAACTGGAGATGCAAACAAACAAAAACTCCGTCAGCACCACAGACCCCAGATAGTCTCAGCAATTGGCGGCAACAGATAATCGTAGGAGAGGAAAAAGGTGATGCTGGAAACATGAGGGTTAGGTGACAGACAAAGCCCTGAGCCTCCCGCCCAACTCTCCGTGGGGCAGTAAAGCCTCTCCTCCTCCCCAGTGAGCACTGAAGTCAAGGGCAGCCGCTGAGGCCAGGCATCCAGGCAGGCAGATCAGTGAACAGCTGTGTAGTGACTGCCAAGATCCCCAGATCCCCTCTCCCTGGCCCCAGACGGGGGACTGGGAGACTCCTTGGGGATCCGACCAGCCCTAAAATTAGGAAGCCAAATCATCCCGAAGAGGACGTCGCAGAAAAATCTTCCATGGTATCCCACATGTAAAGGTGAGCAAACAGCTCATCAGGCATTTGAGGGAAGTATGTATATAGAAGACAGAAATCAAAACAAACAAAAGCAACCTGGAGGAAACAGAGACCACGCCAAAAGGCATATCCTCAGAGAGATGAGAGAAAATATTGTGTCTGTGGAACAGGAAGAGGATATTTAAGAGAGTTTTCTGAAGTCAAAAATAAGACAGCAGAAATTAAATACATAGTAGAAAATTTGGAGGATATAGTGGAAACTTCTCAGAAAGCAGAGCAACAGCAATTAGATGGAAGGGGGAGAAAGGGAAATTAAGTCCAGGAGGTCCAATGTTTGGATAAAAGGGATTCCAGTAAAAAAAGAACAGAGAAAATGGAGGAGGAGTAAGTTGTCCATGAAGTAATGAAGAAAGGTTCCCAGAGCAGCAGTCACTGGGGTGAAAGGACACACCAAGCGCCCAGCACAGTGGATGAAAACGAACCCAAACCAAGCACCTTGTGGTGACATTGCAGAACACTAGGGACACATAAAAGATCCGAAAAGCTTCCAGAGACAAAACAAAAAGTTTCATACAAAATGTCAAGAATCATGGCACCATGACATTGGACACTAGAAGAAAATGAAGCAAATTCCCTCAAAAGTTCTATGGGGAAATTATGTCCCACCCACACCTTTATACCAGCTGAGCTATTAATTAAATGTGAAGGCACATTTTTAGGCATGCAATGTCTCAAAAAATGCACCTCCTCTGTGCCCTTTTATTAGGATATATTACACCAAAATAAACATATAAACCAAGAAAGAGTAGACATGGGACCCAGGGAATGAATTAAACACAGTTGTAGAGAGGATCTTCTATGAATAGCTTTTATAATCATGTCTAATCATACAAATGTTAAATACTGAGCTAAACAAAATTATGCTGTAACTGTCCTGGGAAAATGGGGAAACAGAAAGTAGGCAGATGTTGTGGGGATGTGAAAGAAAGCTAAAACCCCATTTTCCACAGTGGAAGTCAAGAGTTAATGCCTTCATCTGGGAAATCAAGAAGTGGTAGTAGCACAGAAAACTGTTGATGTTAGAAATATCAACATCAGTGCTCAGCGCCAGCAGGGTCAGCCTGCACTAAAAGAGCAGCAGCAAATAGGAATTAGGGTAGTGTTGTAAGGAGATCTCCCTGCCAGCTAGGCCAGACCTCAACCCCTGGAAGGGTTCTTGACTCTGACGGAGAAAGAATTCACGAGCAGGTGGAGCAGGTGGCAGCAAACAGGAGCACACGGAAGCAAAAGCACACATGCAGGAGGTACGTGCGGGCCTGCAGGAGAGGTGAGCAGCATGGGGACTGCAAGCTGGGTCTCTCATGGGGAACCTGGTCTGCTGTGGGGTGGGGTCTCCTTGGAATATGCATGGTGCAGAGGTGAGTGATTCACCTAATGGGCTGGGTTGCACATGCCTGGTGAGGGAAAGAGAAAATGTTTCCTCTTAAGAGGAAACTGACTTGGTAGGCAGATCATTAAGACTTTAGTTTGGTATGTTTGGGTCTACAAGCATCCTGTTGTTTTGTACCTGTTGTTTTGAACCCTGAGCATCTTGTTAATTTGTACTTTGTAAGCACTTTGTTATCCCATACCTTCTGATTTGAACCCTGATTCCCTGTGCTCCCTATTCTAGCCTACCTCAGTAAGAGACAACTGTTTTCAAGGAATATCCTGTGTTAAGCTTTGACTCTTTAAATCATGTGCATGTATAACTGATAAAACAAAAACTAAATTTAAAATACAGTATGTGTAACAGAGGGATAATGAAAGGAGTATTAAGGAAAAATTAACAGGGAAGTTTGTTGGGAGATATTCTCTGTGGGTCACATACATTTCTACATGCCTTGTGAGCAGAGAAACTGACTGTCCTTCTCCTGGACCATCTTGTTTAGCATGTGTGCATAACAGACAGGCTTAGAGGATAGTGTCTCCCTCCATAGCAAGGAACAGGCATGCTTACTGGCCATTATAAAAGATTCAGGTTCTCTAAGCTTAGAGTTCCTTTCTTGTAATGCCGCCCACCAGTTGTACAAGTGCCACCTGACACTCTTCATGTTGCCCTGTAGGAACCTGGTCTCAAATAACCGGCATTTACAAATGCCCATACACTGACTGCTGCTATTTACTATAAGTGATGC